CTCATGGAAAAAAAAGAAGAAAAAAAACTAGAAATTTCCTTTAATAAACTAAATTGCGCTTTTTCTGATCTAAAGGGAAAAAAGCTATTTTTGAAGAAATTATTATTAAAGAAAATTGATCCAAAACTAAATCTAACTCTCTTTTTCAAATACAGATTGTTTTTTAACTTGTTCGAAAAATAATTAGTGGATGAATTTAAAATCCTATTATTATTATTGTCCCTTTTTGGTATATACCAGGAGGAAACTTGATTCATTTCTTTTTCTACCACTAATCTATCTTTAGGCAGAGAAATGACTCTTGGAAAAGCTAATCAAATTCATTTTAAATTACGATATATGAACTCAAACATAAACATGATTATGAGTTTATTTTATTAGAAGAACTGTGGAAAATTAAAGGAATTCTCAATAAAATAGAGTGAAAGAACAAATATAAGTTCTTAATGGTGTATTGAAGGGGAACAGATATATTTATAAATAACTAAAGATCAATGAATACTTAAAATGCTTGAATTATCCTTTGAAAAATTACAAATCTCAGATTTTGTCAGGTATGATGCATTTTAAAATTATGCAGAATCCTTCGTGTTTCAAAATAAAAACGATAACGCACCAGACGAGACTTTGGAGGTCTGCGAAATTGACATATGAATGGAAAATTGAGTTCTATATAGATTTTTACTACACAAGACCACCTTAAATGATAATGGTTGAAAAATGAATAGAGTTGCTGTTGTAGATTAAAAAAAGAGGTTCAATAAAAAGGATTGCAGTCTGAAGATAAAATCATTCAAACTGCGCCTATTTTTGGTAGTTGTCTTGTGTTTGGAAGGCAGAAAAATTATTATGTGAACATCAATAGGATTGTTTTTAATATGTGACCTTGAACAACAAGTTTACTCTCAATTAAATAATTTCCATTTCTCAAAATGCCACCCACATGATAAACAATTTTTCATTATTCAATTCATGATTCAATTTTGCTTAAAAAATTTTAATATTAGAGTTCTATTGCTTGTTTGTTTTTTCCTCTTCTCAGAAAGAAAAATATGAATGGGACAAAAATTGTATCTTTTTCTGTAAATTGTTGTATTTATACACCTGTTCTTGCAAAATTTGGGTGAGGGGGTTTCATATCTAAAATTAGTTTTCTTTCCAAAGCTGCAGTTTTTCTTTAAACAAATGAAATTTCTGGTCTAATTTTTTTTCAACGAAATGCTTAAAACCGGAAGTTCGCGTGAATGTTGCAAAAGATTTTTAGGGAAGTTAAGGCCCATCATCGGGATTAAAACTGCATGGGAGCCCATGCACAGAAATGTCGTAGTACGCGGTTAGAGGCGCTTTCCTATTATGAACTGTTCAGAAGCACACGGAAACAGTTCATAAAGGGGAAGCGCTTCTAGTGGCGTATGAGGATTCCGAGCATGGGTTTATTGGCATTTTTAATCCGAATGGTGCGTTCAGACTTTTCTAGCAATTTGTGGCAGCATTTACACTATTTTCTGTAATATATTATGTTTTAAACTTGTCAATTATTACAAAAATGGACTAAAAAGGTCATTTAAAAAAACTGTAACCTGGAGAGAGAAACCGATTACAGACTTGAAATCAGCGTTACTAAAGTATTTAAGAGCTGCTTACAATCTCGTTTTACACAAAACAAAACAAAAATTTCTCCACTGTAATTTCTCAATGTTTAAAATTCCCATATTTTTGCCGCTTTTTCGACCTTTTTTTTGGGGGGGGGTCTCCGTTAATTTCAGTCTTCTTTTGTAGAAAAGTGGGAATCAGCGATTTCTCAGAATAACTTTTGAGACCCGCGATGGCTCAAGGGATAGATTGTTCGCCTTCCATGAGGTGAACCGGGTTCGAATCCCAGGGATGGCTAGTCGATACGAATTCCGCATCCGTCTTGCCCTGACCACAGTGCTGGCGTGAAATATCTTCAGTGATAGATGGATCATGTATTAGAGTCCCCTTGCCGTCTAGCTAACCGGGAGGGAGAGATTTTCGTGGTTTTCCTCTTTATGTAACGCAAATGCAGGTCCATCCAAAAAGTCTTCCCCCAAGGCAAATTTCACCCAATAGTTGGCCCAGGAGTTCCCTTGTCTTCTGGATTGGGTTCAAAATGACAAGGCTGCGCAGTTGAACATTAGTAGTCGTAAAACCAAACAATTGGGTCGACTCTTCAACGAAGGTTTTAAAAACAATTGGTAAGGAAGACGATAACTTGGTCACTACCCACATAGGGGAGTGTCGGGTACCCCCGCCCACTGTCAATTTCATATGTATAGAATATTTTTTCAAGTCAATGGGTCATCGCACATTAATTGTTATATTAACAAAAAATTATTTGCAAAGTTTCAAGCATTTATGGAGCTGGTAACATGGTAAACAATAGTTTTGAAAATATGTTGAATACAGTAGTCAAATTTTTTAAATTTCTATTTTTTTAAAGTTAAACTATTCTTTTTGGGGGGTTTATTCTTTTTGCATTATTTAATTAGATGATAAAACAATAGAAACATACAAAAATATTGATTATTACGCAATATTATACAGAAATATAAGTAATACTCCTTAAGTGGGCGGGGCTACCCGACTCTCCCCTATATCTGATTTTTAAGCATACCTTTTTTTTTCCATTAAAACCAGAAAAGAATAAAAATGTCTTCCATTTTATGCTTTATCGTCCTCATATTATTGCTCACTTAAATCTGCAGGACTTAAACTGCAGGAAAATGCATATTCCCTACAAAAAATAAATTGTTGCAGTAGTGATTTTCAGCTTGTTATAAACATATAATTTTTTGTATCCTTCATACTTTAATATTAGCATTTTAATAGTGACTTGCAATAGTAATATTCTTTACTCATTACATAGATCATTAACTACATATTTTTAGTTAAAATAATTTTTTTAACAAGGCTACGGAGTTGAACATTCGTAGACCCAAATTGGGGTCGGCTGTTCAACGACTGTCATAAAATTTTTATTAAAAATAGAATAACTTTTGAAAATGAGGGAGAACTGATCAACTATATTGAACAAGGGATATGGAATATTCTCTTTTATTTGAGAAAACGTGCTTCTTTATATTTAAATGCAATTATCACCCAGAACAGCGACAGAACAGTGATTCATTTTAAAGTTAAAAAGGCTTATCTTATTGTCTAATTTATGAATGATGAGATCATTGGCTTAGTCATGCCACAACAAATTCCAACCAACTCTTTTGCTTGATAACAATATCAACATTATAACAAAGCATATGGAATGCACACTTACTCCTATTGGTTGTGAATCTTGAGCTGTTTCTTACCTGTCAAATTGAAAATAAGTATGTATTCTGTTATCGTTATTTCCCCCATTCTAATGAAATTCAAGATCACCTTAAAAGATATTGCTCCACAGATGTACTTAAGAGCATTATTTTCGTACACAATTTGACGAGGATTCGAAAATTAGTTCGCTTGTATAGAAATCTACGTTAAACAAGTTCTTGTTTAACGAAGTTCGATTGCATTACTGCTACCTCTTTTTTAAATATAGAAAATTATAAATTTACGTTGAACTAAATGATAGGACATTTTTTTAAAGCCTGTAGGCTATTATGAAGAGAAATTTTCGTTAAACGAGTTCTCATTAACAAGTTCAACTGTATTACAGCTAACTCTTTATTTTTCTTATTATTTTTTTCTTATTTTTGCTGGAAAGCTGAAGAGGGGTATGAGCGATGCTTTCGCAAGACATTGAAATGTCCTTATTTTTAAAATTATCTTAAAAAAACAAAATAAAAAAATTTAGCAAAAAAAATTACGCACGGAAAATTTAAATTATGGCATAAAAGTTAAATTCAGTGCAAGAAAAAGTTAGAACAAAAAATTTTTGGAGACTTTCAGAACAGCTTTGAACACAAAAAGAAAATAAAGGAATATTTTACTCAATTCTTTTTAAATGAGTTAAAACGTTCTTTTTTTAATGCAAAATTACATATTTTTATAAGAATTAAATTCTAAAACTCGATTACTATTTTAAAACTTAAAGCTAAAGCTAGTTAGGTGATGTAGTACTTTTCTCAAGTAAGCATGGGTGAGGTTTGTAATTTGCTTATTTTCGCTGACAAGGAGGTAGGGGAGTTCAAAATTGCCAAAAATATGCTTACCTAATGTTTGAATCTCACACTTACAGAGTACATAGTTTTTCCATTAGTAGTAGTACATCAACAAAGTGCACATTGACGCACTATAGCTAATTGAAATCTTTCTAAGTGAAAAAAAAATATTTGAAACAAATCAACTGCACATTTTAGTTGAGAATTTTATTCATAAGTCATGTAAATATTACATGAGTATCTATTTATAATATTGGAGAACATTAATTACAACCTAGGCATCCATTTAACACGTACATATTGGGATTTTTTTCAAATTCATGATCATCATACAATCGGGGAAATAAAAACCATACCCTGAATTTACCTTTGATCTGCAAATTAGAATGTTTAGTTTTGTTTTCATTGTGATTGACCTTGATAATGATTAGCTATTCAGATTTTGATAATATTTTTTTTTCTGCAATCAAAAAAAATTCGGGACACTTTTCAAAAACATTTTCTTAAAAATACCGCCACTTCTTTTTTAAAGCCATTTTGCCATTAATTTCGTTTTAAAAATCTTTACAAATAATCTATTAAATATTTTAATTAGCATAATAAATAATTTTATCAGTAAGTTCTTTTTAGTTTATGTTGAATAATAATATTTTTGTTTTATCTTAAGCATTTTTTAATGTTAGCAATTAAAAAATTTCTAAATTTTAAAAATGCATAGGGATTTTTTTTAAAAATTGTTTTATCAAAATCTTCTTTTACTTCCTGTTTAAAAAAAAGTAACGTAAAATTTCAAAAATATTAGTCCATTCCATCTCCATTTTTATGAACTTTTCATATATACTCGAATATGCTCGAATGCTTCAAAATCATGAATTTTAGAATTTAGGTAATTGGGCATAAAATTGGGTCGGCTGTTATAAAATAAAGTAAAATTTAGGTAACGCAACTTATTCTTTAATCTTGCATAAAGTCAGAAAAAAGAATAAAAATAACAAAATATCAGAAAATTGAAAAAAAGAAAAGCAAAGGTCTAAGCATCATTAAAACTGAAAGATAGTTAGGAATTAAATACCTACAAACGACATTATCTTCAGTTTCGATTCTGATTGGCTGTTGAAACGTGGCATTAGTTTATGTTAGTAACTGTTCTTTTTTCATTCTATTTCGAGTAAGCCTAATCATTAAAATATCAATTCGATATGCAATCTCGTAATCGATTATCGTATCATGTGGTAATATCGTAACTAATAAATTCTTGTAAATTAATGAAATACGTTATTAATGCTCTGCAAAACAAAAGAAATAAGCTAATTTTCCTTTATTAACGAAAATAAGGAGAAAATAAAGTAAGCCTAACATATGTAGCGTTAATACGCAATCTTTTTTATAAACTAACAGCTGGCACTGAAGTTATACGTCAAGTGGTTGTGTATCAGCGGTTTTCTTCTCGTTGAGAGTAAGCAACGTAAATCAGTTTGTTTGTTAACATAAATAGTTGCAAATCATTATTGAATCTGCGTAAATTTATAAGCACAATTAAGGATGGAAATCTAAAAATTGAAATGAAGTTCTAAATGGAGTTCTAAAAATTGAATTAAAATGGAGTTCTAAAAATTGAATGTATAGATAAGAATTAGTAACTTTTCATTTCTACTCAACTCTATTTCTTTCAGCTTTTCTATATCATTCGCAAGGAAAGAAAATTTTAATCAGAAATTTTAAAACATGAAAGTTAAGCGTTCAGATATATGACTGTTTGCTTACTTGATATTTCTTTGCCAACGTAAAAGAAAAATAAATTTTATCGGTTTTTTTAACAATCTGCTCATAAGTGTTTTATAGAGTAAAAGCTTAGATAGCTATAAGTTTCGGCTTGTTTTTAAATAAAGGTTCTCCGATATCTTAAGAAAGGAATGAGAACTTCAACTTCGTTCATGAAATTCGAATAAGTAGATCAAAAGTGATTCAGGGCTTTTTATTTCTTTGAACTTAATGCACAATTGTCGATGCTTCAAAATCTCTTTATAACTTGTTTTCCACCAATCTCATCTTCTTGAACGTTCTTTTCAAAAAATGTCGAACTCCTGAAAAATAAAATTTGATATATAATTTATTATTAATTTTTTATTATTAATTTAAACAAAAATTGAAATAAAATTAATTGTATTAAAATATCGGCTACTGTTTCTTCCTTAGTAGATCGACAGTTCTTCCTCCCAACATTTATTTATTATATTATTTATTCATTTTTATTCGTTTATTTTTAGTTAGTTATTTTTGTTTGTTTATATTCAGTTAATTTTATTTATTAATCTATTCATTTTCTAACAATAGTAACTAACATTCTCTTGTATCATAAGTACGTTGTCGTAACCTTTCAATAGAAAACATTGAGTACATTGTTAAAAATTTTAAAAAAAGATCCCTGATCTAATGATGTTTTGACCAAATGATCTGATTCGAGGATTGAACTTCAAAAAAGCAAATTATTTAATGCTGCTTATAAGCACAAAAACATGTTTTCTCTGAAAAACATCCCTCTCTTTGACGGATTCTAATTTTTGACTCTTAAAATATGGTAGTTGCAATCTAGAAAATATGATTCTAATAGTTAAAGCAGGAGAGCGATCGAAAGTTTGGACCCTTTTATGTTAATTTCAATTTTTGTGCAGTTGGCTGCATTTTGAAAATTTTCGCTGTTTCTCAAAATTTAATAATCTGAAAATTTTCTCCATTGTAAAGTTAGATAAAAAAAAATTACATCAATATGAAGTATGTCATTTTAAACAGCAATATACAAGATTTGAACAAAATCGATCTAATAATTCTCGTGAAAACAAATTTCAAAAGATCGTATGTTTAGGTTGTTGTTGTTCATTTACGTCGCACTAGAGCTACACAATGGGCTATTGGCGACGGTCTGGGAAGCATCCCTGAGGATGATCCGAAGACATGCCATCACAATTTTGATCCTCTGCAGAGGGGATGGCACCCCGCTTCGGTAGCCCGATGACCTGAAGGCGAAGTCGAGCACTTTACGGTAGTTTAACGGGTAGTTTAACGGGTATTGAACGGTACAATTTAACGAGGACTAATACCGCACATCCTTGGTCCCTACGCACACTGATCCAAGTGGTCACCCACCCGCACACTGACCGCAGCCAGTTATGCTTGACTTCGGTGATCTGCTGGGAACCGTGTCTTAACGATCAGTCCACTGCGGGCCCTGTATGTTTAAGATTAGGACGTATGTAAAAGGTCGTATATTTAGGATGAGGCGACTGATTCAGAGAAAACTTCTACAGTTTGCTTTTTGGATTACCATTGAGAATTTGGATTATTGCTTATTCTAACTCCAGTGATGATTTTTCGACTGCGTCCCCCCCCCCACACCAAATCTGAATCGTGGTTCAAGATAGAACTCTCGTCTCCCAAAGAGTATACCGGGTTCGAATCAAAGCAATAATCGCACGAAATGATTTAGGTTCCCGACTCGAATCCGAGAACGGACGTACAATTATCCTCATTGGAAGACGGTTCATGGGGTAGAATCTCCTTTCCGTTTGGATAACTGTGGGTGGTTTTCCTCTCCATGTTAGGAAAATACGGGCTAATTCCATCGAAAAGTCCTCCACGAAGGCAAATTTCTCCCAATACTTGATTCAGGAGTTTCCTTGTCTTCCGTATTGGGTTCGAAATAACAAGGCTAAGAAGTAGAATATTAGTAGTCGTAAACCCAAAAAATTGGGTAGGCTGTTCAACAACGGTAATAAACTTTTAAAAAAATGGTCACGTTAGGTGCTAGGAGATAAAGCGTTCGCCTTCCAAAGAGGTGAACCGGGATATAAATAACATACAAACATGTCCAACATACTTAGTATCATCCCTCTCCTTTTCCATCCCTTCGACTGTCAAGTTCAATCAGAATGAAAAGGTCTCTAAAGGACCTAAAACATGCTTAGTATTATCCTTCTCCACCCCTTCGACAATTAAATTCAATCAGATGAAAATGTGCTCTAAAGGGCCTAAATAATACTTAGTATTATCCTTCTCCTTTTCCACCCCTTCGATAGTTAAGTTTTATCAGGTGGAAAAGTCCTCTAAAGGGCCTGAAGCATACTTAGTACTATCCTTCTCCTTCTTACCCCTTCGATAATTAAATTTAATCAGATGGAAATGTGCTCTAAAGGGCCTAAAGCATGCTTAGTATTATCCTTCTCCACCCCTTCGACAATTAAGTATAATACGAAGGAAAAGGCCTCTAAAGGGCGAGGATTACTGATCACCTTGATAAATATATGTAAATCTTACCTCCATGTGTTATGATCATTGCTGAAATTAGTTTTCTTTCCTTTTGGCTTAACATATCCTACAGGAGGTCTGAAAAAGGAGTAACCTGGTGGTAAATTTTCTGTTTTTGTTTTATTTCGATTTTTGCCACGTTTCCTTCGGGACCCTGTCCTGACAGCTGGATGAGAAGACCAACTCTTAGTATGGTTCTTTTGTTTGCATAAGCCAAGCACTGAAGCAGTACCAATAAGTTCAATTAGTTCGATTATAGAAATCACTGAGACACCTAGATAGAGTCCTAAGCAGCCACCCAAATCTGCCATTAGTTTCGGCAACTGAAAAAGTTAATAAATTTTTAAAAATCTATTTCTTTGAAGAGGTATAATAAGAATTAATAAAAGCAAAAAATAACATTCTGGACAAAAAATTAAATAAAAATGCATAGAGTATAGAAACAACGAAAAAGAAGCCGTCTACATTTTATACCAATTTCCACACCATTTTAAGTTAATAAGCATCTTATCCTAATTGATTCTTGTATTTGGTTTAAAGGATTAATGCCTCTTGTAAAGAATGTAAATATGTAGTTTAGTCAACAAGGAAATAAATTTAAGAACAATGAAGGTTAAAATATCTTAATTAAATTGCAATTTATTTTAAGTACTAAAAACGTTTGCTGCAAACTTGCCCTCATTTTTGGTGTTGAGATAAACTGAACTTTTTTTTTCAGTGCATGTAGTCATATTTTAATTTACTTTTTCACCGTTATAGTTCTATTAATTAATTCGTTTTTGGTTTGTTTGTTTACAGACAAAACATATTTTCATGCGCATTAGAATCAATTTAATAGCTTCATTGTTAAAAACATTTAGCATTATTATAAAATTTTAAAACATTATTATATATCCTCACTAATTTTTTTAAAACAATTGGGTACTTGCACTTCAAGAAGAAGATCTCTTATACCCACACATGTGACATAGGACGTCAGCGCCAGGTAATCTTTATCAGCAAAATGGAGTGAGCTAAGTTTCTCTAGATAAGTTAGAATGTTAATCAACGATAAGTTAATTCAATACAGGTATCACGCTTCGAATTAGTTGAAATATAACTCTTTCTCGTCTTCGTCTTTTATTTAACTTAGATTTATTATTTGTTTATACATTTTATTGCAACCACCGTATATTTTTTGGGGGGTATCTGGCAACTTCGATGCATAATTAGTTTGTTTATGTTCCATACTGCTTCGTGTCTGTCTTAGTGTTAAGTCCCTGGGTAAATATATACTGAAAGAATTAAAATCTTCGTGAAATAATTTAGAATGTGTCACTTAAGATACTTGGCGGGCTTGGCTTACTCGAAATAGAATGGAAAGAGCAATTGCTAACGTAAACAAATGCTAGGATTCAACAACCAAATCGAGATACCCACACCGCGTCACATGCAGTTATCTCATTGCTGTTTTGCCAATTTTGCATAATATTTTTGCACGATAACTACAACTCCATACTTAAAAATATATCAAGTTTACGTCAACACAAAAAATGGTGGCAACTGTTACATCAAAATTTTAATGCAAGACAAAATAGACTATCTTCATTAACGTACAAAATCTTTAAAGAAAAATCCAAGCCATTATACGAAATTAAAATAAAACGAACAACAAATCGATTATAATTTCATTTAAAAATAATTAAATAAAACGATAAAAAAAAAATAAAAGAAACGAAAACCATCGTCTGGTCCGAAAATGTAATTTTGTCGCAATTCGATAAAATAAAATAAAAACTAGTGTGGTTTTTTTATTTTTTTTATTCTGATTCAGAATTAAAGTGGAAATTATATATTTCAATAGAGTGAAAACGCAAAAAAAAAAAAAAAGAGTCTTAAGCCTGAAATAATAAATAGTAGTTTTGAAAGAAAATGGGTGAGTATTATTTATATTTTAACCTCTATGATTTAATTCAAATGTTTTTTCAAACAGTTAATAATAAAAACGCAGACTACTCTGAAATAAAGCGTGCAAAAAACAAAAATATAAAAAAACAATTACCGTGTAGCTGTATCTCTCTTCTATTGACATGTATACCATTTCTTCCATGTACAAATGAACTCGCAATAAATTTTCCCTGAGAAGTAAAAAAAAAAAAAATATTTTGATTCAGAAAATATTTCGAAGGATATTCTATAATCCAATTATGAAAATGTTATTGTGTGAAGAGGTTTCATGCAGGGTATGCCGTACGGATCACCTTTAATCCGTTCAAGAACCGTGATCATATATACGTGATCACATGATTCTTCCTGCATGGCCCATCTCATATATGAGACGAGCCTTTCCAATGAGGTGAGCCGGGTTCGAATCCCAGCGATGGCTGGTCGAAACGAATTCCGCACCCGATTCTCACCGACCACAGTAATGACGTAAAATATCCTCAGTGGTAGGCGGATAATTGGTTAGTGGCTAACTGTGGAAGGATTTCGTGGTTTTTCCATGTAACGTAACTGCAGGCCAGTTCCATCAAAAATTCCTCCACGAAGGCAAATTTTTCTTAATACTTGATCCAGGAGTTACCTTGTCTTCTGGACTGGATTCAAAATTACAAGGCTACGGAGTTGAACATTAGTAGCCGTAAACCCGAAATTGGAGTCATAAAATAAAAAAATAAAATAAAACGTTGCATTTTTAATTTTACATAGTTGGCAAAAAAAAGGTTGTTGAATTAACTCTTTTTTAAACTTAATATAAATAGCATAAATATCATTATCCAAAGATAAAGATTGATTCTTAAAAGTTGATTAAAGACATGCAAAAACCTTAAGAAAAGAATATCTTTTTTTAGCTTTTACTGTAAACCTTGTTATTGCCTTCTTTTTTATTTTAGCTTTTTCAGGGGTCTCAATAGATGCATTTTGTTTGAGTTCAAAATTAAATGATCAGGCTAACCTTCATTTTTAAAGTGTACAAAAGTTTATAGAAACCTGTGAAAAAAACCTTGTTTCAGTGATGGTCGTAAAATCTAAAATGAACCTTGATAAAATCAATTTATCATCGGCTTGAGAACACTTTCTACTCAATTTAAAAAAACAAAGTTGTAAAGGCAGATTCAGTTTCGATATAGGAATATATATTCGAAAAGGTCGTTTATGCTAGATCAATGCTAACTTTAGCCTCATAGCGCGTGAACTAGCAAAGTTAAATTTAACATCGTTAAATTTTACATTATTTCAGATCTTGCATGGTTTATTTGCTGATCATTCTTGTTCGGCCTTGTAATAAAAGTTTCTGCTATATTAAGAGTTATCTTTACGGCACACCCTATACACTTAAAAAATAATTTAATAATTATTGAAACCCTTACTTGAAGAACTCGTCATCATCGAACTTCGTGGTGTTTTCGTTGCTGTCATCTAGGGCTGCCAGTATTTCAGGAAATTTCTTCCAATCCGCCCTGGATCGGTTGATCAAGTAATCTTGGTGCTGCATGTTGGGCCAATCAGCTTTCGATAATGTGAAATCATATCGAATAGAACTGCAAAAAGGAATCATTGAATTGAAAAAAAGCATATATATATATATATATATATATAATTTTTTTTTCTTTGTAGCTACTGACACCGTTTTACTTTGATGCATTTTATTTTGCTTAAATTTCAATTTAGTTTTGGCGCAATTAAATAGTTTATATTAAAAGTTTTTCTGATATTTCAATGGAAAGGAAAAAATAATTGCAGTAAAATTATGAATTTTTTTTTTCTTTTACGTATTTTCAGGACTAACGATAAAAATAAAAAAATCTTTGGACCTTTTATAAAATTTTGAATTATTTTCGGAGTTACTGAATCTTAAATGTGTTGTTGTGTTTTCATGTAACCATGAAAATGAAATTTTTTTTAAAAATTCACTTCAATTTAGAGGGCGGAAATAATGCAAAATATGTTTTCATAAAAACTTTTTATGGTACAATATTATTTTGGGGGAGTCAATGTTGATATTTACATATATTAATACAGAGCCGTGGTGGCTCAGGGGATAGAGCGTTCGCCTTCCAATGAGATGAGTCGGGTTCGAATCCCAGCGACAGCTGGTCGATACAAATTCTGCTCCCAGCTCGCACCGACGTAAAACATTCTGTGTGGTAGACGGATCATGGGTTAGACTTCCTTTGCCGCCAGGCTAACCGTGGGAGGTTTGCGCTAATGCGGGTTAGTTTCATCAAAACAAAGTCCTCCACGAAGGCAAATTTCTCCCAATATTTGATCCAGGTATTCCGTTGTCTTCTGAATTGCGTTCTAAATTACAAGGCTACAGCGTTAAACATTAGTAGTCGTAAACCCAAAAAATTGGGTCAGCTGATCAACGACGGTTATGCAATAAAATAAATTAATACGGCTGGTTTGTAAAATTATCTTCTACATTCTCTGTTCGCGGTTATAATTTTTCCTTTCTTCACTGAAACAGTGCCGCGTTTGAGGCACTTCGATTTGAAACGATTTTTCCACGTCTATCAATTTAGTAGTTATTATTCATATACCATACAGGGTGGCCGCAAACTTATATTTTTGGGGGGGAAGAAAGTGCAATTTTGACGAATGAAATTCCCAATTTTAATCGAATTATAAATGAGCGTCTGCAATTATTCTGATCTCCAAGGAAAAACGTTATAAACAAATCTTAAAAAATATTATATTTAAATATATTTTTTATAGATAACATAGCTGCTAACTTCTCCTATTTCACCCTGGGAGGTTTTATATTTTTACTGGTAACAAGATTTATACTTAGATTGAATAAATCTGATTTGAAAGGTTTTCGCTCATCATTATACCTAATTAATTTAAACGTAATATAAACTNAATAAATATTAACGAAAACAATAAATAAATTTTTAAACGAATTACAATAAATAAATTTTTAAAAATAACCTCGCAGAAAAGAAAGCAGTCTTTAAAAACTCTGAATTTTTCTTGTCTTGTAAAATCATAACATTTTGTAAATAATAAATATTAGCGAAAACAATAAATAAATTTTTAAACGAATTACAATAAGTAAATTTTTAAAAATAACCTCGCAGAAAATAAAGCAGTCTTTAAAAACTCTGGATTTTATTCTTGTTTTGTAAAATCATAACATTTTGTAAATAATAAATATTAACGAAAACAATAAATAAATTTTTAAAAATAATCTCGCGGAAGAGAAAGCAGTCTTTAAAAACTCTGGATTTTTATTCTTATTTTATAAAATCATAACATTTTGTAAATAATAAATATTAACGAAAACAATAAATAAATTTTTAAACGAATTACAATAAGTAAATTTTTAAAAATAATCTCGCGGAAGAGAAAGCAGTCTTTAAAATCTCTGGATTTTTATTCTTGTTTTATAAAATCATAACATTTTGTAAATAATAAATATTAACAAGACCAATAAATAAATTTTTAAGTGAATTGCAGTAAATAAATTTTTAAAAATAATCACTCAGAAAAGAAAGCAGTCTTTAAAAATTCCGAATTTTATTCTTGTTTTGTAAAATCATAACATTTTGTAAGTATTAACGAAATGGCGCCAATCAGAGATAAACGCATCATGACTATCAACCCCTATGGAAAGAAAGATTATCTTAAGTACGATGGATTAGCGTCAACTCCCCACCTGCGATTGTAAAGGGAAGGGGGGGAAACTTTGAGCGAGGAACACCTGTGACTTTGGGCCAGAAAGGATTCTCCCCCATCTATGACCAAGAATAGGACTTCAGCCACACACAAGTCACTGTCCGTTTATAAGGTGGACCCATTTATATTTCCATTTTTTCATCCACGTAATTTTGACCTGTACCAGAGAATGATCAATCTCCAATTCAGAACTCTCTGATGTATGATTTGTTATGGGAACATAGAGGACTTTGTGACACGATAAACTTGAGTCAAAATTTACAACATGTCAAAATTTACAACATGGGGAGTCTTTTGCCAGCGGGGATCGAGCTCACATGACCTCTTGGACGCAGGCCCAACGCCCTACCAACCCGGCTATCCCAGCCTATTAATTGTCTTTCACAAGTAAATACATTCTTTACTAAAATTTGAATGACATTCAATATGTTAATTTCAGAAAATATTACAATCTTTGTTTTAAAATCGTAATTCTCAAAATCATTCAAAAATAAGTCCTTTTATTTTTCTTTAATTATTGCAGCTTTCAACTTATGAATGAGGGAAATTAATCAATGGATACTGATATAAAATGACAACTTCGTCTTAAGCTTCGTCAAAAAAAGATTACGAATATATATAAAAGAAAAAGAGCAGCTGCTGTCTGACTGTCAAATTTGTGTAGAAAATAACGATATCTCATAGATATCGGAAAATAATTTTTTTTATTTAAAAAAAAATATGACAGACACGCCAGGGGTTGGAAGAACATAGTTGTAAACACGTCAAGTTGTTGCTCGTCAAAGTCAATTCGGTTAATGACACTCAATGTGCGTCAACTTTCGCGTAACGCGTGACACAAAAGTTGGTAATTTGTGCAAGTTTTCTGGGCCTGCTTCCGGTAAAGTTGATTACCATAAATCGATGGGGAACAATCGATGTAAATAGTATGACTATTTTTTCTTCAAGTTGATTAATTATTTAGGGTTTTGTTTGTGTAGCAAATGGTGTGGTTTGATTCTAAGAAAAATAGTTGTAAATTCAATATACGGGAGTATAATACATTTGTAAATGTTGGCATATGTAAAGAAATTTGGAATGTTTCATTGCCGAGAAACTATTTTTAGGAAAAAAAAACAATTCATTTTAACGATTTTAATGCATTGATTTCATTCCATTTTTCAATAGTTTAGTCTATACGAACCCCACCCAAAATAAATTTCTCACTACATTAAAAAATCGTAAGAACAAACACTCTTTTGGGTGTTCAACTTTATATTTTGCCTTGCACTCAAAAAATCTAACAATTTCATCTATGAACTTAGCGAGAGTTTTTTTTTAAATTTATTCGAAAGTTATTACAATTTTGAGTTCATTTTTGCGAATGTTTTTCGTTCACTTTTTTTCTTTAGGTTACATTTCGTTTTATTTATTATTTTATAGAAAAAAAAATGCCCTACTGAATAATTTGAAAGTAAAATATACTGAATAATTTAAAAATTAAATAAAAAGTTAATTGTAAATGTGTAACCGTAACCGTGTAACCGTGTTGTAAATGTGTAACCGTAAATGACAAATCAAGAGAATGTCGACTTTTTTCCAGTCAATGTCAACAATCACATAGCAGTGAATGTCCGTAATATTTGTTGTATAAAAATTTGTTATATTTAATTTATTCATTGATAACATTATTTTTATTCGATATTTTGATATAAGCTGATAAATTACCGGTACCGGAGTAATGGTTAAATATATACTGGGCAGTGGTACTTGACGTTATAAAAACATTGATGTAGGGCATACCAGGCAGTGATACTGAACCTTAAAAAACATCAGTGTATGGTATACCGGTCAAATGTATACCGGGCAGTAGCATTTAACTGGACCTAGTATTTCTGCCATTAATAAAGCAACTATGTGATTGTCAACATTCACCCGTGGAAATCAACCAATTTCGGTCATTCACAATAATATATATTCCGTCATAAAAAAAAAGGTTTTGTCTGTCTGTACCTTAGGACGCTTTTTCACCAAGATTATCTTCAATTATATGTTGATTTTAAAATAGAATGTAGTCCAAAAAATGAACTCAATCAGATAAATTGCTCCACAAGAATAAAAGCTAGAAAAAAATTGTGTCTTTGAATTTCAATTCTCAGAAGCTGTGTAAAAAAAAACGTTTAAGAGGACGTGGTACATCTTGAAAAAAGTTTCTGAAACAATTTTCTCTCTAATAGGAAAACAATACGTTTGAAATTTTATAAAGAGGAGAAAAAATAATTAATGTTTTAGCTTAAATAAGTTAGAGTTTTAACCTGAATTTCGAAATTCTACTCCTCCGTCTACTAAACTAAACTCAGCGGCGTGACAGCCCTTGAGGGCCAAGGCCTACTGTGCCCATCTCAGTTTTTTTGACCTTGGGCCCTGGGGTGCAGGAGCAGATGTTCCGGTCAGGTGGTCAGCCGAACGCGGAACCCTCAGTCTTCAGTTCCCAAGCAAGCTTGGTACTCATTTATCGACCCACTGAAGGGATGAAAGGCTGAGTCAAGCTTGCCGGGCCCGAGGATCAAACCAAGGACCTGTGGCACGACAGCGCTAAGCGCTACCGCTCAGCCACCGGGCGTCCTACTCCTCCGTCAGTTTACAGTATTTCTTTATGAAATTTTTACTCTATAACCGCTATATTCTGTTAAATAGTAGACAGTATCCACGAAATTAGAAATCAAAGACAATCAAATCCGTGACGTCACTAAAATTACAAAAAAAATTTAAAAATCCAAGCTTTACAATTTTCCTTAATAAAAATTACTGCTGGATTTAAAAATTCATACCATTCTTCATTATTATGTTTTTGTTATTATGTTTTTAATATTATATTTTTATTGACATAAGTCCAAAATATCTAGAATTTGAAGCTTTAAGAAAAAAATCCTTAGTGTTTTATAGGAATCTAAATAAGCGAAATGTTTAGTTTAGAGAAACCTAAAATCAAAGTTTTCAAAATCTTACACATTTTAAGGAGACATGATATATTTTGGCACCTGAAAACACTTTCAGAACCATTTTTTTAAGAGAAAAATTATTCCATATACATCTTTTTACGCACCTATAAAATTCTAGACTTGTTCGAGGGATATTTATTTATTTATGGAAATTTTTACAAACAGTCCTATACTATACTGCCGGGCAATTGAAAAGTCAACGTAAGCGACAAAAAATTCAAAATTAAGTTTTTCATATATTTGGTATCTTTTTATGGTAAGCTACATCAAAAAAAAAATTATAAAACAAGTTTTGTTTTGTCAGTTTTTTTGAAATTCTATTTTAGCGATCATTGTATTAGCAATAGAAGCTTCCAAAGTTGTCAAGCCACTTTTCTAGAAATTAATCGTAAACCGCATACGTTTTTTTTTTTTTTTTTTCAGTTGAACTACCGTATTGTCTTGATGTTAACATGAGAGAAAAACAACTCTAAAAACTAATAATAATGGCAAAGAAATTAAAAATAAGTAAGAATTGATCGTTTTACCTTCTGTCTTATTGCAAGGATTACAAAATCTCCATTTCACAATCGTTGGACCAACTTTGGGTTGCTCATCCAGGCAACCGCAATGTTCAAACAGTAAAGAATTTTGGCACAATGTGTTGCAATGCTGGAATAATTGACATTTATCAGTAAAAATTGCACAATCTCTTTTATTTTAGATGGGGGGGGGAAATTTTATATACATTCAGGCCTGACTATTTTCAAATTTAAAAATATCGGATACAGAAGACTATTGAAGAATTAAGCAAAGGTAAATGTATTGCGAAAGCTGTATAGGTTTCATACGAAAATTCTGAAATTCAGTTTTAAAAGTTGTCAACAAATAGCGCTGCAAGCCCTTTATGATCAAAGCTATTAGCATTAAAATATTAAATGAGGTTGTCATTTCAGATTAGAAGGTTAAAACAACCTACTATCTCGAACAAGGAGCGTTTCTGGTAATCGTAGTATCGCAAATTAGATTACAATCATATGGCATTTGTATTCCTTTCAAGAACTCTGTAGACCGTACAGAGCCAGAAACTAAATAGAAGTTAGAATGGAAACAAACTTTAAAACTCAGTTCCGAAATTACTACAAAAAATTTGTATAGTTTTTACAACAGACATTGTTTTATTATTCGATCATTCTCTGTTTCTAAAATTTTTAATTTTGAAGTCTGTTAATTCCTTGCTGAACACCCTGTATATTTTATCTGGATGAAAACAAGTGAACTTGTACGTGACTTTAATACACTTACATTTCTTTTGTTATATAAATTGTTTTACATTAGCGATAATCAAAGAGAGAAACATTACGTTTGATTATAGAGATGTGTAGTCATGAGGCTTAACGAAGATTATTTTCCCTTCGGTAATCCATCAATTAAGTCATCCGGTTGCCTATGTTAATGATGTGTTTTTCCCACCCTTCAGCTAACCATTAATTGCTTGCGTCTTCTGACAGCAGATCTTCAATTCGTTTTCTTTCATAGTTAGTGTTCCAAGAGAGCGGTCGGTCCCTTGGACTAGGATAAATCCCTTAGATAAGCGTCGTGATGATGGTGATGGTTAATGTGGATTGATGGCTAATGGTCTGATATAGGCACTATTTAATATTTATATCAACCAGTTGCGAACATAGCCAATTAGCTCCGTTCGTATGACTGTCCTGTCAATAATGCGAAAGTTGAGGGCTTGTCCACCCTCTAAAATGGGACAGTGTTGCAATTATTAATATGGTTCATAACATTTGACAGTGTTCGTCATTATGATTCATCTACGCAATATTTCAGTGATGATTTTAAATAAGTACTATCAATGGTAGAAAAGCAGATTTAAGCAAGCGTTTCCCTCTACATATATGTTCATTAGCTAGCTCTAGTTTCTAGATCTGGTTTCCAAACAAATACATCTGACCACAGATCGAGGTTTGCTCTCAATACCAAATTTACAAAGATGAGAAATTGTTGGGGAAAATATGGCTCAATTCTTTTAAATGTCTCAAGAAATCATCAAACAGAAAAGCATAAAATGAAATAGTTTTTGTATAATAAAAATCTTTCTATGAACGAAAAAGTAAGAAAAGTTTAACTTGTAAAAATAGAATTGATATTGTCTCAGTTAATTTTCTAGATATCATATTCATTTCTTATTAGGATACATCTGTTTTATATCTAGATATTATATTCATTTTATATAATTAATTTCACACACACACACACACATTACCACATTACGTGTTTCAATAATTTCTTAAATGAAGTAGATCAGGGGAAAAGTCGGCGGTACATTTGATGTTATTATTGTTATTCTAAAACCGAAAAAAATTTTAGAATTACTAAATTTATATTCAGTAACTTTAATAAATTTGGTAGCATTTTACGTGGTACCAAGGAAGATTACATCGCAAAATCTTCAGAGCAGGCTCAGTTTAATAATAAACAGTCACTAGTTATTTCCTTTTCAAATAGGCAGTTTTTCTTCCAAATTTATACTAAAATATTGTACAGGCAAAATGTATAATTTAATTCAGGTTATCAGAATTACTTACTTCATAGGTATATTTCAGATGTGAAAGTTCGAAATCCAAATCTTGTTTTCTCAGCAAGCGAATGACACGTGAATCTGCGAATGTATCAGTGCAAGATCCTTCTCTACCAGGCAGTAATTTACTCACTCTCTGAAAAAATATAACTCATAATATAAATAAATTAATGCCCAGAGAGACACAAAAATTGGTTTAATATATGAAAAACACCTATGTGAATAAAGTAGCTGTACATATTTATTTACACCAAACAGGAAAAAAATCCCCATGCTTTGACTTCTGATCTAAACATAAATATTTATTGTACTATGTAATACACTATAAAAAAATATTAATGCATCTAAACACTAAAACTAGTGGCAATTATTTTACACCAAAGCGGTGGTGTGAAACATCATACGTAACTCTTGGTGTTTCATTAAACCAAGAGCCAAGGATTGTGCATATAGCGATATCTTTTACACTACTTGACGTAAAGTAGCTATCATTTTTTTTTGTTATTTCGTAGCACTAAAATTTATAATTGCAGTAAGATAAGATACATATAAGAGTCAATAAAATTATTTTTACAAGACAATATAAAGAAAGAATCATTAATTTAAGATGCATTAAATAAAACAGTTCAACAGTACATTGATACAAACATGCATACAACACATAGAGCAATATTAAGATAAAGAGGCGGAATCAATGCGGATGGAAACTAAATATTATTAAATACAATTGACAGATTTATGTAAATCTTCTTATGAGAATGTAACATTGTGCAATTGAAACATACATGCCTTTTATAACAGTTTTCCTCTATTTCTGTAAAATGTTCAGCATCGTGTGAGACAAACTTTCACATTTTCGTCGCGCGACAGAAAACAATCTACTGTTGTTGCAAGATGGTTCTCAAAAGAGTGTCAAAATTCGAGAAAATAATTCTTGAATGAAGTAAATTCATCTGAGCTTGGTATAAGCTTTCTCGTTTGTTGGTTTTTAGATTTAACTACAAGTTATAAAGTGTGTAAGGACGCTTGGTTCGGTATTAACTTGAAATGAGGCACACTTTTTCAAGAACAAATTCGGATATGTATGACACCATAAATTTTACAGAACTGTCCTGCATCTGCGAAATAAATCTTACTAGTGAAGCACTTCTGCTACCACGTTATTATTTTTGAGGTAAAAGGAAATCTTCTATTTGAAAGGACAAATGGGTTTTAAATATTTTTTTTCCAACTGCTTTTTTGGATTTTATATTTTAGTACAGATATTTTCCGTTCCGATAAGCTTCTTGATTCTTTTTGAAACAATTAGACTGTTTTTCTTTTATATTTGAAAAGAACCAAAATATATATTTGCCTGATTAGAGTATCAGAAAATATGTATAAAAAAGGGACACCGGTGTCCTATCTGCGTCATAGGGTAGAGTTTGAGGATTTAAAACTCGTAATCACAATTAGTTATTAAGAGTTGGTTTTAGAAATAGAATTTAATAAACTTAAAAGCCTTGAAGTTTAAAAACCGTTTGGAAGAATCAGAATTGGCATATTTATGTTTATTATTATCATTTATGGGGAAACATATTTTCATAACTTAAGTTAGCCTGCATATTTGTTTCTAGCAAGCTGTAACTTTTGAACTTATAGTATGAGTTAAGCGAACTTTAACGGTATCAATTTTTTGCTAATGGTTTCGTCTGCTTCTCTTTTTTTTAATATTTTATAAGAATGCCGTTTCTATGAAAGCGCTTGCTTTAATTTATAGCAATGCTTCCCATCAATGAAATTTCCTTTTTACAATACTGTGTCCGAACTAAATGACGCCGGAAAAACGTGATTGTTTACAAACTACTTCATGAAAATTTGCGATCTACTGAATATATCCGAATCTGTGTGAGGAGAGGAGTTATCAACCATGTCAACCTTCATCTATCAAAAGATACCCCAAGATTGGATCGAGTTAGCATGTCTTACATACTAGTGATTTAATGTTTATTAATTATAGTAGTAGTTACGCCACATTACTCACCCACCAGAATTTTATCAAGGACAGATTTCGATGAACGGATGCTACTACTAGTTGCCGTATTTGCGACTTATTGAGAGAGCTGTGTTAAACTCACTGGATTTTCTGCGTTGGTAGTGAGTGCTGTATTAAGTTCACCGTGTTTTAACGGCTAAGTGGTGAGAGCTGTCATAAGTTTACGGTTGTGTATGTGGTCCCTCCTGTGTTGCTAATAGCAGACGAGTGCAGTATCCTGTTGTGTATAAATGAGACAGAGAAGTTAGGACGATGGACGAGGAGGACGATGACCCAGTCACAAATAACAAGTCGTATGTTCAATGTGGACCATTCATCGAAATGAGCGTATCCTTCGATGTACGCAAGTTCTTATCACGTCGGCTGGTCACCAATGTGAAGAAAGGTAGCTATCGATCATGGCAACCTTCTTCTATCAAAACGTACCTTTGGATTTAATCGAGTTAGCATGTCTTATATACTAGTGAATTGATATTTATTAATTATAGTGGTAGTTACGCCACATCGGTATTACCCTTCTCTAGTTATTAGCGAACATATATCCAAATAAACTTTCTCTTTTACATGTATAGAGAAGATATGCATCCTAAACTAATAATTATTAAATTATAATACATCGTAAAAGTAACTTCATCAGAGGATGTGTACTATATATTGCAGAAATTTTAGTGTTACTGAATAACAAGAATGGTGCCCTTTGGTGCTTCGCTACACCTGGAACAATCCTTGGTTCTTGGTGTAATGAAGAACTTAGTAGCCTCTTTAGTAACCACTAACCGTAGTAACCTCTAACATAGTAACCTAACCGTAGTAACCTCCTTGGTGTAAAATAGTTGCCACTAATTTCGACTTTCAGGGCAGGGTTCGAGAATTTCAGGAGATGAATCTTCTTTGGCATGTATTTCTCTAGATATCTCTTATTTTAAACAATATTTTATCCATCTTTATTTGGCACAATCACAGTGCTACTTTGCGAACCAAACACAACAACCTGCCTTTCAAATTGGGGTACATTATGCACCAAAAATAATGTTCGTTATTTAAAATTCTGAAGTTGACACATCCACCCCCATGGAGGGAAAGAGTGAGGAGTTCGAATTTGATGTTATTAAAAGCATCTCTTAAAAATATTTCCCATGAGTATACAATTGATATTCCTCAAGATATTTGACTATTTTCATAGATTTTGGACCTACTACATCAAGTCCTGTATAACCTATATTTACCCTTCTAACACCGATGTGAACACTCCGTCCTGGATCTACAATGATGCCTCCCCTCTGCAGAGTAGGGTAGGTACCTTGGGGGTGCACCATCAGTCGAACACCGTACTCAGCAGATATTAAGTCCCAGTATTCGTCCCTTTCTATGTTCAGCGTCAAACGAATACCTAGGATAGAAGGGAAATGATATTTTGAAACAGCAAAACAAAAATATAACACACGAAGAACTCTCAAAATTCTGTACTAGAATAACAGAAAGTGCTCTGCAGTTATATATTCGTGACTTAAATAACGTCGTCCATTTTATAAGCATTTAGAAATTTTGACAGCGTTGAACCTAAATAGTGTTCAAGCTTGCGCAATCTCAATATGGTATTTCTTAATTTATTTCTCGATATGGTACTTTTTTTTAAACTTATTGTGTCTCATAGTACTTCTTAAAGTTGAATATACACCGAAGAGCCATTACATTATGACCACCCTGCTAATAACATGTAGGGCCACCTTTAGATCTCAAAACTGCTAGCACCCGCTGTGGCATTTATTCCACAAGGTGCTGATAGGTAGTCTGAGGTATCTGGTACCAAGCACTCACTTTATGAATTATACGCTCTGATGAA